TGTGCTCCCTACCTATATTCACTTCTCAATACCAGATATTTTCAACATGCATCTTATATTTGGTTAATACAAGATAGGCTTCTTTCCACCCAGGGTATTTATTGGCTTATTACAATGTAGAGCTGGTTTTATTTTTTCATTAAGTTGTTTAAACCTAGAAGACAGTCTTGTGAGGAGGTATACCATTATTTTTAAGCAAACATTTCAGAACTTTGGAGTTTTTTGTCTTCATGGTCACTTGGAACCTGTCTACTTATTCCATCTACTTATGCTATCATAATTCAAAACGTTTTGGAACTACCCTTTGAAAAGGTGTGCCTCACGTTTTTAAATATCTTCAACTGGTGATAAATCTTAGCCTTTTTTTCATTTTAGTTTCTTGTATTTTTTTATTTGTTCTTTTAGTTATACATGACAGAATGTATTTTAACATTTCATACATAAATGGAGTATAACTTCCCATTCTTGTGGTTGTACATGGTGTGGAGTTACACTGTTTATGTATTGATCTATGAACATGGGAAAATTATGTCTCATTCTACTGTCTTTCCCATTCTCATCCCCTCTCCCTTCCCCCCATTTCCCCTGTCCAATCTGGTGAACCTCCACTCCTCCCTCCCCCCAGATCTTAGTCTTTTAAGGTAGATTTTATTATATAAAGGTTCCCCATTTTTTTGACAGCCAACAGACCAAGCTCCAGATTTATGTATCCCATTGCTAGCTCCACAGCCTTTCTTGTTTATCTTTAATTCAGACTGATAGCTAGGTGTGGTGGCCTGTAAACCTAGAGACCTGGGAGACTGGGATGAGAGGTCACAAGTCTAAGGTCAGTTTCATCAACTTAATAAGACCCTGTCTCAAAATTAAAAGGACTTGGAGGGCACGGTGGTGCACGCCTATAATCCCAGTGGCTGGGGAAGCTGAAGCAGGAGAATTGCAAGTTCAAAGCCAGCCTCAGCAAAAGCAAGGCACTCTAAATAAATACAAAATAGGGCTGGTGATGTGGCTCAATCCCCGGTACCAAAAATAAAAAATTAAAAGGACTGAGGATTTAGCTCAGTGGTAGAGTGCCTCTGGGTTCAATCCCCATACCAAAAATCAAACAACAAACAAAAAACAAAGTAATTATCTCCCTAATCAATCTAGTACTTCTAGTGTTTCCCAACCCTTCCTTGACCCAACACAAAAAACCAAGGTGTCCAATATCTCTAATGAACCTAGATGCAAAAATCCTCAATAAAATTCTGGCGAATCGGATACAAAAACATATCAAAAAAATTGTACACCATGATCAAGTAGGATTCATCCCTGGGATGCAAGGCTGGTTCAATATACGGAAATCAATAAATGTTATTCACCACATCAATAGACTTAAAAATAAGAACCATATGATCATCTCGATAGATGCGGAAAAAGCATTCGACAAAGTACAGCATCCCTTCATGTTCAAAACTCTAGAAAAACTAGGGATAACAGGAACATACCTCAATATTGTAAAAGCAATCTATGCTAAGCCTCAGGCTAGCATCATTCTGAATGGAGAAAAACTGAAGGCATTCCCTCTAAAATCTGGAACAAGACAGGGATGCCCTCTCTCACCACTTCTATTCAACATAGTTCTCGAAACACTGGCCAGAGCAATTAGACAGACGAAAGAAATTAAAGGCATAAAAATAGGAAAAGAAGAACTTAAATTATCACTATTTGCAGATGATATGATTCTATACCTAGCAGACCCAAAAGGCTCTACAAAGAAACTATTGGAGCTAATAAATGAATTCAGCAAAGTGGCAGGATTTAAAATCAACACGCATAAATCAAAGGCATTCCTGTATATCAGTGACAAATCCTCTGAAATGGAAATGAGGACAACCACTCCATTCACAATATCTTCAAAAAAAATAAAATACTTGGGAATCAACCTAACAAAAGAGGTGAAAGACTTATACAATGAAAACTACAGAACCCTAAAGAGAGAAATAGAAGATCTTAGAAGATGGAAAAATATACCCTGTTCATGGATAGGCAGAACTAACATCATCAAAATGGCGATATTACCAAAAGTTCTCTATAGGTTTAATGCAATGCCAATCAAAATCCCAATGGCATTTCTTGTAGACATAGAGAAAGCAATCATGAAATTCATATGGAAAAATAAAAGACCCAGAATAGCAAAAACAATGCTAAGCAGGAAGTGTGAATCAGGCGGTATAGCGATACCAGACTTCAAACTATACTACAGAGCAATAGTAACAAAAACAGCATGGTACTGGTACCAAAACAGGCGGGTGGACCAATGGTACAGAATAGAGGACACAGAAACCAATCCACAAAACTACAACTATCTTATATTTGATAAAGGGGCTAAAAGCATGCAATGGAGGAAGGATAGCATCTTCAACAAATGGTGCTGGGAAAACTGGAAATCCATATGCAACAAAATGAAACTGAATCCCTTTCTCTCGCCATGCACAAAAGTGAATTCAAAATGGATCAAGGAGCTTGATATCAAATCAGAGACGTGCCGTCTGATAGAAGAAAAAGTTGGCTATGATCTACATTCGGTGGGGTCGGGCTCCAAATTCCTCAATAGGACACCCATAGCACAAAAGTTAATAACTAGAATCAACAAATGGGACTTACTCAAACTAAAAAGTTTTTTCTCAGCAAAAGAAACAATAAGAGAGGTAAATAGGGAGCCTACATCCTGGGAACAAATCTTTACTCCTCACACTTCAGATAGAGCCCTAATATCCAGAGTATACAAAGAACTCAAAAAATTAGACAATAAGAGAACAAACAACCCAATCAACAAATGGGCCAAGGACCTGAACAGACACTTCTCAGAGGAGGACATACAGTCAATCAACAAGTACATGAAAAAATGCTCAACATCTCTAGCTGTCAGAGAAATGCAAATCAAAACCACCCTAAGATACCATCTCACTCCAGTAAGATTGGCAGCCATTACGAAGTCAAACAACAACAAGTGCTGGCGAGGATGTGGGGAAAAGGGTACACTTGTACATTGCTGGTGGGACTGCAGATTGGTGCAGCCAATTTGGAAAGCAGTATGGAGATTTCTTGGAAAGCTGGGAATGGAGCCACCATTTGACCCAGCTATTCCCCTTCTTGGTCTATTCCCTAAAGACCTAAAAAGAGCATGCTACAGGGACACTGCTACATCGATGTTCATAGCAGCACAGTTCACAATAGCAAGACTGTGGAACCAACCTAGATGCCCTTCAATAGACGAATGGATAAAAAAAATGTGGCATTTATACACAATGGAGTATTACTCTGCATTAAAAAATGACAAAATCATAGAATTTACAGGGAAATGGATGGCATTAGAGCAGATTATGCTAAGTGAAGCTAGCCAATCCCTAAAAAACAAATGCCAAATGTCTTCTTTGATATAAGGAAAGTAACTAAGAACAGAGTAGGGACGAAGAACAGGAGAAGAAGATTAACATTTAACAGGGATGAGAGGTGGGAGGGAAAGGGAGAGAGAAGGGAAATTGCACGGTAATGGAAGGAGACCCTCAGGGTTATACAGTGGAGGGGGTAGAGAGAGAGGAGGGGAGGGGAGGGGAGAGGTGGGGAGGGGGGAGGGTGGATGATGGGAAAGGCAGCAGAGCACAACAGACACTAGTATGGCAATTTGTAAATCAATGGATGTGTAACTGATGTGAATCTGCAATCTGTGTATGGGGTGAAGGTGGGAGTTCATAACCCACTTGAATCAAAGTGTGGAATATGATATGTCAAGAAATTTGTAATGTTTTGAACAACCCACAATAAAAAATTAAAAAAAAAAAAAAAAAAAAAACCAAGGTGTGACCCTTGATACCTCCTTTTCCCTTACCTTCTTTTATTGACCCATTGCCAAGCTTGGGTCATTTTGCTGCTTAAATTCATCTCTCTAATCCATTTACTTATTAATTGCCACCTCCTGCCCACCATGTAATTTAACATATTATATATACATGGAGTATAATTTCCCATTTTTGTGGTTGTACGTGGTATAGAGTTACACTGTTCATCTATGAACATAGGAAAATTATATCTGATTCATTCTACCGTCTTTCCCATTCCCATCCCATACTATCATCTCTTGCTTAGACCTTAGCAAAAACCACCTAATCAGTCTATCCATAAGTACTCCAGCCTCTGTAGGCTTTTAGATATTTACAAATGTCAGACTCAATCAGGTCCTATCACATAGTCCTTCCATTCCTGTTTAAAATCTTTTAATGTGATAGTTTAATGTCCCCCATTTTCTTTGCAACACAGCTTTGCTGCTTCTCTATCAAAAATTGGGGTCTATTTCCTTATACCTTGAATCTGGGCTGGCTTTGTGATCAGCCTTAACTAATAGGATGTGGCAGAAGTGATATGTGTATTCTGGGTCTAGTCTTTCAGAGGTCTTGCAGCTATGTCTTTGTCTCCTTGGAGGCTGCCCTGAGACCATGCAAGGAAGTAAGGCTAGACCACTGGTGGGTGAGGCCACGTGGAGAACAGAGGTGCCCCAACCAAGAGTCAGTGCTAACTATGAGACGTGCTAATGAGTCCATCTTGGAATTCTGCTGTTAACCAGCCAGTTGAACACAGCCTCATGAACAAACTCAGGTGAAAACAGAAAGGAACTCCCAGCTAACCCACAGAATCATGGAAAAAAATAACTTTTTAAGCCACTAAATTTTGGAGTGATTTGTTTTGTGTCAAAAGCTAACTGATATAAAGTTTTTCCTGCTGTCCTTAGGATAAAGATATTCTAAAGCGCTCTGTAATGCTGTGTGTTCCGACTCCACCCATGCCTCACATTTTTCTCCTTGGCTCTGGAAACCTTTGACTTGTGTTATGGTTTCAATCTTAAATGTCACCCAAAGAAAGGCTCATGTGTTGAAGGGCTTGCTCCTCGGCTGGAGGTGCTATCAGGGTACAACCTTTAGAGGTGGGGCCTTATAACAGGAAGTTAGGGTCACTGGGGCATTGAAGGGGATATTGGGACCTGGACCCTTCCTTTTCCTCTGCTTCCTGACCACCATGAGATGAGAGTTTCCTCTCCAGTATGCTTCTATCATGATATTTTGCCTCACCATAGGTCCAAAAGCAAGGGGCCAAGTGACCATGAACTGAAAAGTCTGAAACCGTGAGCCAAAATATTTTTCCTCCCTTTAAGTTGTTTAATCAGGCATTTTGTCAAAGCAACGAAAAGCTAACACAGCTTGCAAGTTCCCTTCTTCAAAAGGCCTTTGTGTATGCTATTCCCCTCATCCCTCCCCTCTTTTCCCCCTCTGGACTTTGGACAACTGAAGTTTGTATTTGGTTGGTGGTCATTTGATTGTTTCTCTCTCCCATCAGTAAACTGCACAACAATTGTTCTGAGTCTGGTTTTGTTCACCACTATATCCCTGTGCCATACTATAGCAGAACTCAATAAACAAATACTTGTTAAATTCATGAATAAGGTGGGTGAGAAATATGGCTAATGTTTATATACATAGGAGGTATGACAGTAAAGGAAGGTTTTTATTTTGGGTGTCCCCCCCCCCAAGGGGCTTCTAAACTGCCTCTGAAGGCAATTCTAAGAGGAGTTTTAAAATGTATTCAGCAATGGGGTAGGCAACATTACAAGAAATGCATAACTCTCCAAGAGAACTATTTAAGGAGAATACTATTTTGAATTGATAAATTCTTGTGTGTTTGTTACAGAAGAACTAATCATAGTTTAGTCATACATTTTACTTCTTTGTTTCCTCCACAGTCTTCCAAAATGAGTGGGAGATGATAGGGGTGGATGTAAGTATTAATTAGTTGATCTTGTTGGTTGCTAATCCAGTAAATGGCATGCTCCTGGGTTCTCTCTTTTGGAAATAGGTTTTACTCTGTGCTCCCAGCTTCAGGATCAAGGCAGGATGAAGGGGGATAGAAGGGAGATGGTGAGGTTGTATTTAAGGAAGGCAGATCTCATCCTCCTCTGCCTTGTGATCTTTGAGGGTTGTAACTTTCCACCCACTTTCTGTCTCCAGGAAATCAGAGTCCTTTGGGGAAGAAAATAGGAGCAGTATCTGACATCACACCATTTGATTCTGCTTTTCTTTTACCCTCACATCACTGGTTTTCTTTCTTTCTTTCCTTTTAAAATGATAACTCTTCCATAATCCCAGCAACTCAGGAGACTGAGGCAGAAAGATCTCAAGTTCAAGGTCAACCTTAGCAATTTAGAAAGACCCCGTCTCAAAATAAAAAATAAAAATGACTGGAGATGTAATTCACTGGTAAAGCACTCCTGAGATCAATACACAGTACAAAGACACACAAATACACCCCCCCACACACACACTTCTTTCCCTCTCTCTGCACTTGACCTCTCTTCTACTAAATCTTTTTTTTTTTGAGGGGTGGGGGGGTACCAGGGATTGAATTTAGGGTTGCCACATCCCCAGCCCAATTTTGTATTTTATTAAAGATAGGGTCTCACTGGGTTGCTTAGCTCCTCCTCATTGCTAAGGCTGGCTTTGAACTCAAGATCCTTCTGTCTTAGCCTCCTGAGCTGCTGGGATTACAGATGTGCGCCACCGCTGTAGGGCTCTTCTTCTAAATCTTGAAGCCTCTACTTCAGAACAGTCTTTTACTTAGCAATGAGAAAACTACTCTTATAGTTCTTTAGATGTGTGGGTACGGGGTGAGAGAGAAAGAAGTACAAGTCAAGTAAGAAGTATAACTAATAAAACTTTAAAAACACAAAAAGATCAAGAGTGTCAGGCAACTGACTTTCATTCTGGATGAATGACCAACCAGAGGAGCAACAAAACTAGGAAGCCAGATCACTAGGCGCTAAAAAAGGAAGGGAAAAGACCCATGCCTGGGGTACCTAGAGCCTAAGTCCTTCATTAGCAGTGACCAGGAGCCCCGTGCCTGCGTCATTGAGCTGAATGAAGAGAAAACTGGTGCTGAGAGTTTTCTAATGACGATGCAAGAGGACCATGTAATGTGAGGCTAAAACCTTACCCTCCATCCCCTGCAATTTCAGACGCTGTGAGGATCAAGCTGAAATTTTATTTACAGTTCCCTGGGAAATCTTACAGAAGATGGGCTATCATTATTGCTTTAGGGTTATTGCAGGAGGAAGACTGCAGTCCTCTAATGGCAGATAGGAAGTCCAGCTCAAGGCTCAAAAATTTGTTCCCAGGTCTTTGTCAGCCCCATTTCTCTGCCCAAAGACTATCATTAATGCAAAAGCACCACTCAACTTTGTTTTCCAAGAGCCACCTGGGCAATTTTGGCCAGATCACACTGTACATCTGCAATCAAATTTCCCTCTGCTTTTGCCGGTGCTGTCACTGTTTTCCCCACTCTGGCCCCTCGCTGCAAGAACAAGGTATTACAGTAGTTCTAGATTGAAGTCTTGCACCTCCGAGCTGGGAGGTAGAGTTCTGGTTTCCCAGAGATTTTCATTTTCTTCCAGCCAGGACCAGCCTGGCTGCCTTCGTGTGGAATATCGTAAAACCACATTTCCTATGTCCCAGATAACATTATAACTCACTTATTAGGTCCTTACCCCTTGATGACATTTCAAGAGTCACTTTTGAGGTACTCTGCATGTTCTTGCATCTGCCGTGTTTTTTCTGGGCCCCGGCACAAGGGAGAAGAGAGAAAGGAGCCAGACCAAACGGCAGAGAGTGTACGCCCATAGCTCATGCCCAGGATTAGGAAGAAGGCCTAAAAAGGACGCAGCACGGGGTGGGCGGATTAGTTTTTCTCTCAAGCCCCACTGCGGAAGGATATGGCTTTGTTCATGAGCATCGCTACTCAAGCCAGAATTTGTAGTGGGCGGGGCTACCCTGGTTCTGGCCGCTCGGTGGAGGGATACGGGGGAGGGGTGAAGGGGTGGCTGCGGAGATGCGATTCTTGGGCGGGTGCAGCGGATCAGGTTGAGTGTCTGCGCTCCCCAGGGACTATTTCTTGGAATGTGATTTGTTCCCCAGGAGCCCGTCTATCTCCATCACCATCTGCGGTGTAAGCTGGCTCAGCACCTGGAGGAGAATGGGGTGGTGGACAAGGCCGTACATCTCGGGTATTGAGGAAAGTCAAGAGGTTCAGAGACCCAAGGAAGTACCAGAGTAGGGACTATTAGCAAAAAGCAAGTCACAGCTGTGACCCTGCCACACTTTGTCATCTTGGACCTCTCACCTGCAAAGTGAGGACTTTGTAGTGGCTAACCTCATTGGACTATTCTGGGTTGGACAGTGTAGCTTTGACTCCTGGGGAAGGGGACAGAGATGAACCTTGCCACTTAGTCTCCAAACTCACCTGTAGTGAGCCCAGGTGTTCCATCAGCTGCTCTTCACTGGACACCCCCAGCAAAACCGAGCTGACACCCTCACTGCGGAGACACCAGGCTGGAGCCAGAGGAGGAAAAAACAAAAACAAAAGAACTGATGGGGATGAGTGAGCACACAGGTTTCAGTGGTATTTCTGAAGAAGAGGATAATTCCTAGGGACAAACCAGTCTTAGGGTAGGTTTGTGAGGTTTCAAGAGAAGACAGGGGTCCAGGACTGGCAGTGTCTCACCAATAGCAAGCTGGGCCACAGTGCAGCCCAGCTGGTGAGCAATGGGCAGAAGGTCCATGGCTTTGGCTTGTTGTTTCTTGCCATCCTCACTCTGTACTTTGTCCTTGAGCCACTGGTAGCCCTGGAAGACAAGGAGTATCAGCAAAAGACTTTACCACCACACATAGCATGCCAGATGGCCCCAGTTCCACCATCTCAGATCTCACCTTGATGCTGGCCCTGCAGGAATCTGGGAGTCGCCCATCATACTTGCTAGTAATGAGACCACAGGCCAGAGGAGACCAAGTGACTGAACCAACACCTAAGAGCAAGAGGATTGGGTATGGGAAAGGGACCTAGGCCACAAGTGAGGCTGAGTGAAAGGCAGGGATGTGGGGCTGCACACCAATCTTGTGATAGAGCTCAGGCAGCTGCATCTCCGCTTTCTCCCTCTGAAATAGGTGGTGCTCCACTTGTTCACACACCGGAGGAATCAGATTAAACTGTCTGGCCATGGAGTAGGCTTCCTGGGTGAGGTGGAGAGGACATGGGAGTCAGAACACTCTTTCCATTTTCTTCCTCACTTCCTCCTCCAGTGCAGTGGAGTCTGGAGTAGCCATGTGAAAAGTGGGAACCAGTTTTGGGATGGGGGAGGTGGGGTCACAGACTCACCATGATTTCTGCAGCCCCCCATCGGGATGTCCCCCAATATAGGGCCAGCCCTTGGTTGATGACGTAGGTCATAGCTCGCACAATCTCTAGGCACACAGGAAAGGAAGAGCTTCACTGCTAGACCCCTAGAATCTACCAGATCTTCAGATCTCTGCCTGCCCCACCAAGACCCCCCCAGGTATCTCCATGCAGCCAAAAAGGTATATCTATTCTCCACCTCCCTCCTGTCCAAGTCCTGGAGTCTAAGCTTCTGCTGTAGAGTGTGGAAGGCCTCCTGAGCTGGGGCTAGCTTCTTGAGGGTTTAAGGAAGTGCCCAGTTTTGAAGGGCTACCAGGTTTGGGAGTGCTACTTTTACCCTCCATAGGACTGTTAGGGTCTGAGCGATTGGCGAAGACGATATCCACATATTCCAGCTGGAGGCGTTCCAGGGATCCTCGCAAGCCTTAGGTGGGGATGAGGAGAAAACGGTAAGTTCCTCAGTTTCTGTTTCCTATGAATTCTGACTACCCCACTGCCATGGCCACCTAAAGCCTCCAATTCAAAGCTTTCGAAAGTGTTCCCAACTCCTCTGATTTCTATGCCCATCCACTTGAGTTTCCCCAGTCTCGAACTCTCACCTTCAATGATGTGTTTGCGACTTAAGCCTCGTTCAGTTTCTGCCCTATAGGAAAAAGGTAAGTCAAAGAAGAGGTGTGACAAAGATAGGGGACCAGGGTTGGCCTGGAGCCATGAGGATTGCATGAGTCCTCACAGGCAGGACAGGGACCTACAATAGCAAGTATGGGACAGCAGTCCTCACCACCCCCCATACACTTCTCCCCAGTCACAGTGGAATAGTCACTTACTGTCCTCCCCCAAAAATCTTGGTGGTGATGACATAGCTTGATCTCCTGGCAAAAGAGAAATGGGAGAAGCAAAAAGTAAAGGATGTTTGGATGATCATGTCCCAGAAACCCTCCAAAACATGGTCTCACCTCCATCCTTTGCGCTTGAGGATGTTACCTAGGGTTCTTTCAGCCCTGGAAGAAAAACAATGCAAAGACACTGATCTCTCCAAGGTGGATCAATTCTTTCCCCTCCTCCCCACCTTTTGCTCTTTTGTAAAGCAAAAAACAGAAGCCCATATGGATTCTCAACTTCAATTTGGACTAAATAAGAGTGGCTTCTGGAGCTAGGGGTATAGTCATACAATATTCATTTATTAATTCAACAAATACCTCTTGTGTATCAACTATGGTATCAAGCCCTATTGTGGGTTGCTAAGGGGATAGAATAGGATGCGGGAACGGGAACAGACTGGTAGAATTAGGGAGAACACTGCCTTGTCTGGTTTCAACCATCTGGGTTGCCTTCCCCCTTCTGGGAACTTCCCACCATTCTAAGCTCAGTTCAGATTCTGCCTCATTCATAGAATGTGCTCTGATGGCTACAGTCTATGGATCAGTCCTTCTTGTAATCTTCATTTGAATTGGTTACACAATTCTTTAGCATATAATTATGAGCTAACTTGTGACAACTCTTAAGTTGCTTTTTTTAAAAAAAAATTATGTTTTAGTTGTAGTTGTACATAATACCTTTATTTTATTTATTTATTTTTATGTGGTGCTAAGGATCAAACACAGGGCCTTGCACATGCGAGGCGAGCGCTCTACCACTGAGCCACAACCCCAGCCCAAGTCTTAAATTGTTATGGTGAACTCTTTTTCTTTCTTTCTTTTCTTTTTTTTTTTTTTTTAACCTACAGCGCCTCATAAAACACTGACTCCAAGACCTGAAACTGAAAGCCACTGGTCAGTTATGTATTGCTGGAGATGCTGTGGCACTGGAATGGAATCTGCCAGCTACAACCAGGCCGACAGGTTACGAACAGTGCAATATGGTGAACTCTTACTGAAATGTTTTACTATTGTTTATTTCCTGTGTTTTTTGTTGTAACCACTTAGACCATACACATTTTGTCAATGTTGTTTGTTACTGGTAAAACCCAGGGACACTTTACCACTGAGTTACATTCTCATTCTTTTTTTTTTTTTTTTTTTTTTTTTGAGACAGGGTCTTGCTAAGTTGCTGAGGCTGGCCTTGGGGATGGAACCCAGAGCTTCATGTGTGCTAGCAAATATTTTACCACTGAGCTATATATCTGGCCCACTGTGTACTTTTTTTTTTTTTTTTAATGGGAATTGAATCCAAGGGCCCATAACCACTGAGAACATCCCCAGCCCTTTTTTTGTGTGTGTATTTTATTTAGAGACAGGGTCTCACTGAGTTGCTTAGGGCCTCACTAAGTTGCTGAGGCTAGCTTTGAACTTTCGATCCTCCTGCCATGGCCTTCAAACTGCTGGGATTACACTATGCACTTTTTGAGAGCATGTTGATTTTACACAGAATAATGCCTGCTCTGTGCTAGGCTCTGTGGAGGGATTTGGGGAAGAGCAAGACAAGTTCCATGGGGGGAAAAGCCTCTGATATAAGCAGCAAATATAGCTAGTTAAACCAGTAATTAATTGTGTCAGAAGGCAGTAAGCTTATAGGGGATGGGGAGTTGGATAAAAGCTTCTTAGAGAAACTGACATTTAGGCTAAGTCTTAAAGATGAGCAGAAGTGTCTGCAAGATGGAGAAGAGGCAGAATAGGCATTCTAGGTTTTGGCTATTCCTAGTGAGAAGCCACAGGTATGTTATTTGGCCTGATGAAAATACAACTTTGTAGTTCATATGTAGTTGTACATAATGATACTCAAGATATGTTTGTTGGGGTTTTGTTTATTTCTTTGTTTGTTACTGGTAAAACCCAGGGACACTTTACCACTGAGCTACATTCTCATTCATTTTTTAATTTTGAGACAGGGTCTTGCTAAGTTGCTGAGGCTGGCCTCAAACTTGGGATCCTCTTGCCTCAGCCTCCTGAATTGCTGGGATTACAGGGTTGTGCCACTGCACCCAGCTGTTAGGTTTTTTTTTTTTTTTTCCTTCAAGATAAAAATTTTATTTGTTAGTTTTATTTAATGTGACTTACACAGTATGCCTACTGGCCTGTAAGCTAGAGAGGGATGGATGCTGGGACTATAACTCCTATAATGCTTTGGGGGCCCATGTCCTGAAAGGCTGGACCTTAGTTTTCCCAGAAATCCCAGAGTTCTTTAGTGGGAAATAAGAAACCCTGATGTTCCCTCAGCCTTCCAAGTGTAACTTAGTTCTTTCTCCCCAGTCCTTACTTTCCTGCTGCATACACTTCAGCGGTGTCAAACAGGTTTATACCATGCTCATAAGCAATTGTCAGCACATCTTCTGCTGTCTAGGAAGGTGAGAGGAAAAAGTTGAAGATCACCCATTGCCCCTCAGTAACCTCCCTTGCTGTACTCCAACCCATGGCACCTCATCCCTTATTTCAATATTCTTTCCCTTTTCTGCAGTCTCCAGCCTCAGATCCCTCCTTCCCCATGCTTGCTGTTCAAACCCCTTTCCAGGTCCCTTTTTCTGATTTCCTTACCACCACCCCACCCTGCTTCTAGGTTCCATCACTTATACCTCATCTGAGATCTGAGAACCAAATGTGACCCAGGTACCTGCAGGAGAGAAGCCAGATACATGAGAACTGTGGGAAGTGGGCCATGAAAGAATGCCCCCTTCCCTTAATTCCTGTTCTGACTCACCCAGGCCAAGACAGGACACTCGAAGACCAGACTTTCCTAGATTCCTGTAGGATACAGAAGCAGAAGGAAAGGCTGGCTCTTCCATTATGAACCTAGGTCATCAGCCCCCAGCTCCTTTCCTTCCAGACTGAGAAGCCCTCAAGGTGTCTCAGTCCAAAGAAACTAGACCCAGTAAGCCTGTGGGATTGGGCAGTACTTACCATAGCAGATTCCCTAAGAATATTATTAAAAGAACAAGTGAACAAATAAATGGCTGGATGCCTCTATTCCCTCTTATCACATTGAAGATGTGCTGTCTGGTTTGTCTTTCTTCTGGGTGAGTTCTTGCCTGTATTTGAATCATCTGTGGGATGTGTGGAGTAGGGGGTTTCAGGGAATGTGGATAGTTGTGGTGAGTACAGACCCTTCAGAGAATGGCATGCTTAGGTTGACTCCAGGATGGCAGAGGTAAACCAAGTCAAGTTCAGGTACTCAGTCCAGGGTCTCTGGCTATACCCACAAAGACATAACAGGAGACCTGGTGGGGAATGTGACATGAAAGCCTCTTCCCCTCTCCATCTCTCAGCTCCCATTGTCTTGTGGAGACTATCTCCTAACCAGTGAGCCCACTTCTCCCAAGGGGTCCCATCCAGGTAGTCAGCTCAATTTCCCAATTGGGACAGACACATGGAGGGTATGAGATTACTCAGGTGACAAAGCCAGGTTAGATTAGTGACCTCTACTCACTACCAATCAGGAGCCCCTGTCTCAGTTCTCTAAGATAATGTCAAATTTAAGCCCGCCCTCCATCCAGACCAGTCCTTTATCCTGAGGACGTAAGATAATAGTCCTTACTTCCCACAGGCCCCAGTCCCCTCCCCTTCCTGACCCCTGAGAGGTCAAAAGAAACCCAGCTCTCATGGCTGGTGGGGGCAATATCTGGGTCAGACACTCAGAGCAGGCCAGAGTGAGAAGTCGTTTCCCTCCCTCCTCTCCCCAGGACACCAACCCAAGGACACTATTGGAGGGGGATGCAGCCTGGAGGTCCGTGCATCCACAACCTTCCTAGGGGTAAGGAGGGAAACTCAGAAGCATCCCCTGGGTTTGACAGGACTCAACCTTGCTAAACTTGATCCTGTTAGGAGTATTGATGGAGAACAAGAGAATGACCAAGTAAGAGAGTGCCGGGGACCGGAAGGAACATTTTTACCAAAGTTTGAAAGGGTTTTGGCGGCCATCCCAAGGACGCCTCAGGGGTCCCGAACCGGGAGCAAATGGGCAGGCTGCCCGGCCACCCCATACCTGTATTTCATGCCAGTGCTTCGGCCGGTGCTTTCGCGCAGGGCCCCAGCGGGCGCTGGAGGTCGGGGAACCAGAGCGGCTCGGGCCTTAAAGCCGGACCCGCCGCCCCCCGAAGGATTCCCATGCCCCCCACCGACTGGCCCTCCATTACCGCCCCCGGGACCCGGCCGGGGTCCACACAGACGGTCCTCACTGCTTCGGCTGCGAAGGTTCTGTTCGGTACACGCGATAGACACCTGCATGCCGGCTGGCCAGGGCGAGGGAGGGGGCTCTGAGGGGACAGGAGGAAGAAGCAGGGACACCCCAGCGCGGACACCTGGGGTTGTAATAGGGCGATCCCTGGGAGAGCGGGAAGGCTGAGGAGGCTGCGGCGGGAGCCGCCTGGCAGATCGGGCCCGCGGGGGCGGGCTGCTGGAGGTCGTGGGGTTTGCGACGGGAAGGGAGAAACGCTGGGGGCTCCAGGAGTGGAGATATTCAGATACGGGGGGGAGCTGTTCAGGGAGTAGGAAATGGATGAGGGTAAGATCAAGGGCGATCCTCAGAAGGTAGGGACCCAGGGACAAAGGGTGGCGGGAGAGGGATGCCACTTTAGCCGGAACCGCAGCGGGACCTACTGGGGCTCGCAGCCGCGTCGGCAGCCAGCCCAGCTTATCAACATGCAGGCACCGCCCCCTCGTCTGCATAGAACCGCCCGCCTCCCAGCCAGACCAGGGGCACATCTGCATGAGCCCCGCCTGCTGAAGGCTCAATAACTTGATTATTCATTGTGCTCAGAAGAGAGATCCATCCTAGGAGCGTAGTTGCCACACTTTCTGGACCCGACGCATGTCAGCCTTCCCTCTACTCAGTAGTTCTTTGTTGGGAGGAATATGTCCCCCAAGAAACATGTGACAAGGTTTGGAGACACTCTGATTGTCACGACTGGGGGTGGGGAAGGATGTACCACTACTAGTACCCTTTAGTAAAAAGGGTTGCTGCTAAAATCCTACAAAACAAAAAAGAATTTCCAGCTCAAAATGTCAACGGGATGGCTATTGAAAATTCCTTGGGCAAAACCTCTTTGCAGGCTTGATGGGTACAGCCGCCCTAGTTTCTGCTTTTATCTGGGGCAGGACCAGGCGGCCCACTCAAACAGACATGCTCAGGCTGCAGAAGGTGACAAAAAGTTTATTCTGGGCTTCTCGTGGAGTCATATAAGGGTTAAAAACTGGAAAGAGGACAGCAAGGACGGGTTGGAGATATAGGGACTCCATTGTGAAGAGGAGGGGACGGGATGGAGGACGGGCTTTTGCTTTCGAGGAGGGTAGACGGAGGGGCTTACAGCGGGGGCCACAAGTTAGGAAGGGCCCCAGGCAGTTCAGATTCTCCTGAAGAATTAAGTAGCTCGCTTCAACCCGCTCGGGCAGAGAAGAACGGCAGAGAGCGGACATAAGAGTCCAGCCGGGAGCGGAAAAGTTCACTTTGCACAGTTTGGCCCAGTGGGCATAGGGGATTCTTCACCACCAGCTCCACGTACAGCTGTGGAGAAAGACGGTGTAAAATCCTGGCTTTCTGGACATTTCTAATTTTCAACCCCAAATGTAGTATAACCTCAAGGGTGTATGAACTCACAAGGAACCAAGACTGGGAGGCAAGCCCTCCCTTAAGAGAAACTGTCTAAGGATGTCTAAGGATCTAAAGACCTCTGAGAAAACTCTTAAATTCAACAGAGGTACAACACAGTAGGATTAGGGCTGGAAACTTGAGGGATTTTGGGGGGTTTCTGTCTGTGGCTATTAAGGGGTTCTGATGAAAGGATCCCTCAAGGGGACACTGACCGCGCTGTAGATGTGGTGCAGCACATCTCGAATGGATCCCACGCCTAAGTCAGTATTCATGACAACCTTGATCCCAGTGGGCGTCTCGTAGTAATGGAGTTTGTAACGGCTAGTTTGGAAGGCCAGGAAGCCGTCCTTCCTGCAGAGATGAGGAGGGTGTTAAAGATGGCAGAAATACTTCTGATCCTTCAAAGTCGACTCCCTCTTGTTTAAGCATACAGTTTGTAGGAACCTAGTTGAGTAGACACCTCCCATCTCCACCCCTCAGTTTAGCCCCCACCTCCAACCTCTTCACCACCTCACCACTTCCCTACTCCCCTTCCTGCAAACTTCAACATTTTTGTTCTAAGCTTCTCTAATTTCTCCTCCCCGCTTTGGGAGCCAATCTCCCTTTCATTCTACAAAGTAAGCCCCTCTGCCCCCAAATTCCCAAGACTAGCCCTCCTTCTCACGGCGTACATGTCTAGCGGGGACATCTTGCTGACAAACGAACGGATAGAGAATAGCATCCCGTACATCAGCTTGTACTCCTAGAGGGAGAGGGACAGAGTTAGGTATTGGTTGTCGGAAGAGACCAGGTGGAGGTTGAGAATCAGCCGGGATTTGGAGAAGGGGGGTTGGGCTGGGACTATTGTACGTTTGGAGGTGCGAGGTCACCCGGACTGCAGCCGGGGCCCTCTCATCACCTCCTCCTTGGGGATCCCCGCTTGCTTCTTGCGGTGCCACTCGCTGTAGTGCAGACACATTCCATTCCGGTCAAATAGATATAGGTTGTGGACAGTCATCGACAGGACAGGGACTGTAAACCTCGTTCCAGGACCGCTCTCACTCAGTAGGCTCGGATTCTCCGCCGCAGATCACTCCAACTAGGTGGGTACTCCAACCCCGGATTCACCGGAATTGCTCTGAGAGTCGTGGTGCAGTTACTTCCGGTTTCCTAGCAGCCCCGCCCCATTGGGCGCTCTAACTGCAAAACCCGGGCATTAACTCCGCCTCAACACCTTTCATCAGACCCCGCCTCCCTCCATCAACCAATCCGTGGCCGCCAGGATTGCGCACGCGCGATCAGGTTCCCAGACTTCAAATGCAGTGTGAGCCTCTGCGAGCGTGGTGACGTCATCAAGGCAAGAGGCGGGGCGGCGGCAGGCGGCTGCCAACGGTTTTGAGCGTGGAGGACCGCGCTAAATCGGGGGACCTTGGTCTTTTCCAACCCAGGCTCAGGTTAGGGCCGCAGTCCCTTTCTCCACCTTGGCAAGTTGGGGGCTGAGGACTGGAGTCGCGGAGAGTGGTCGGAATCGGGTGGTCACGGTAAAGGAACTCAAGCTTAAGTGCGACATGCTTTTTAGGGATGTTTCAGAGTGAGACTGAAAGTTTACAAGGTTTCTTTTGGGGCAATTGTGAGTGATTCTAGGGATCCTCTCTTTGACTTTCTAGGAGGGATTGGAGGAGATACACAAGGGAACTGACCCTGGGTAGAACAGGTGAAGTGGGCGGGGACGGACAAAGGGCGAGACTGGAGCTCTTGTGGTATAGACATTGGACCTTACTGGTTTGGAGTCCCTTTCAATTTGCACGTTCTGGGTGTGAGAATTAAGAGCCCAGTTGACTAGAGATAACTTGTGCCGAAACTGGTCTGCAGCTTCCAGCACTCTAGCTGCGAAGAGGAGCTGCAGTGGTGCTGTTTCCTCGCTGTAGGTTTTATGTCCTTACCTCCCCTGTGCTGCACCCTCCTTTTCCACCATTCCCAGGAGCTGGGAAAAGGAATGCCTTTACCCTCTCCATGGCCTCTAGAAACGGTGGAAACCTTTCATCCGACCAGAAAGCCTTGAAACCCTTGTTCAGCCGGGATCCACCAAGGAGTCTTCCTTCCTTCTCCCAAATCTTCCTTCTCCAAGGAAGTTTTCCCATTGGACTCTCTCAAAGCTGAATCAGGAGCTCTCAGATTTCTATTGTCACCGGTTATTTTTTATGTATACTTATGGCAACCTCAGCTACCAGACCCAGTTCACCTCTCCGACCAGAGGATCTCCTGAGTGATTCGTCAGAACCCACTGGGCTGAACCAAGTGTCCTCTGAGGTGACCTCCCAGCTCTATGCTTCTTTGCAACTCAGCCGTCAAGCGGAGGCCACAGCCCGAGCCCAGCTGTATTTAGCCTCTGCCTCCTCACCTCCTCATGAGGCCTTAGAAGGTTTGGCCCAAGAGCTGAGTCACAGCTTGTCCCTGGGATTGGAGAACAACTTGAAGAAAAAGGTGAGGAGGCGTGTCTTAGGAACCCCAAAGGTACTAGACACAAGAGCCTTGGGATTGCAAGTTAGCTCTGTTGATTGAATTTCAATTTTCTTTGCACTACATATTCAGTCATGCTTGTTCCTGGGAATAAATGTTTATGAGGCAGGCAATGATATGGAACACATAATATGGGAAATTATGAAAAACTCCCTTTTTTTTTTTTGGTACTGGGGATTGAACTCATGGGTACCCGACCACTGAGCCACATCCCCTGACCTATTTTGTATTTTGTTTAGAGCCAGGGTCTCACTGAGTTGCTTAGCACCTCGCTTTTGCTGAAGCTGGCTTTGAACTCAAGATCCTCCTGCCTCAGCCTCCCCAGCTGTTGGGATTACAGTCATATGCCACCATTCCTGGCTCCCTATTTTTTGTTTATTTTTTAAATCAGAGACATGCACACTGTGGGGTAGGTTGATGTCCTATAACTAGGACCTGGACATGGGAATGGGGATAAGGTTTCTTGGTCCGAAGAGGGAACTGGGGACTTAAGAATAGCAGCAAAATATGCTAAGATCCTTCCAGCTCAGTACTGTTTTGATTGTATGGATCAAAATTTGGCATATAAATCCCTGAATCATGGTTTAATCAATTATACCTATTATAAAGAAAATAGGTATTTGGGTTGGATAGAAAAGATGTCATAATCAATGTACAGACTGGTTAGGACTTCCAGAATTTGAACTCTGGTAACCATGAGTTACATGACTTTTAGGGCTTTTGCTCTTTAGTTAGCAAGAATTTCTACTACCCTTTTCTTACATGTACCCACTTTATTCATTTGCACTATTTTTATGGTTTTATAGGCCTTTGGGTTTCTGACTCAAGATTTAAGAAGTCCATGCCGGGTGTGGTGGCGCACGTTTATAATCTCAGCCGTTTGGGAGGCTGAGGCAGGAGGATCGTGAGTTCAAAGCCAGCCTCAGCAATGGCGAGGTGCTTAGCAACTCGGTGAAACCCTGTCGCTAAGTAAAATACAAAATAGGGCCAGGGATGTAGCTCAGTGGTTGAGTGCCCCTGAGTTCAATCCCTGAACCAAAAAAAAAAAAAAGAAAGAAAGAAAAAGAAAGGTTAAGACCTTATGGGTTGGTTTCACTTTTCTAGCTTTTCCTGGTGCTAGAGTAAAAATTTTACCCTGACAGTAAGTAGAATGTAGATTATAAGGTTATATTTCCATGGGGCTTTTTTTTCTAGGATGGTTCTAAGCATATCTTTGAGATGGAAAGTGTTCGAGGTCAGCTTCAGACCATGCTCCAAACCTCACGTGATGCAGTCTATCGTGAGTAAACCCCTTCCATACAGTTCTGAAGGACAGCCTAGACATAAGGGGTAGGAGAAACTAGAGGAGAAAGCATGGGTGCAAACCGAGACCTCTGAGACAAGAGATTTCAGGATTAAAGACACCTGTTCTTTGGGGGAGAGGGTGAAGAGTGGCAGAAGTAGAAAGGAAGTCCCTCAAAAAAAACAAAAACAAACAAACAAAAAACAACTCATTTAACTGAAAAAAAAAAAAAAAGAAAGGAAGTCCCTCTCCTCTCTTCTTCTTCAAATAGTCACTGTTCTTATCGTTATCTGACCCTGGCTATGTGGTCCCCTTGGGCTGTGTGCAGGGGATCCCCTCATTTCAGGTGCTGCCTCAGAGAGACGGGATGAAGACTCCTTTGACAGTGACAGCACCTTACTCAAGTGAGTTCTTGGGGTCCTCCTGGCTTATGTGTTTACTAGGAATCTATGTGTTCTATTTCTTAGTTCTCCCCTGACTGCTTTTGGACTTCTTAGGAAAGAAGTCACTTAGCTTTCAGTTTTCATATTTTCTTTCCTACCTTTATTCCTTTATACCCCTCCTTTATTCCCCTCTGGCACCTGGGCAGCAGCCACCTACAACCTGGTTATCTCTTAACATCAGCCCTTCTTCTTCCAGAACAGTTAGCTTGTTTCTGTGGGATGGTTACTGCAGAGAGTGTGGTATAGAGGAAGGAGCATTATAGAGTCAATCATAGACTAATGTGCTTGCAATTTATGGCTCTAGCACTATTTAGCTTTATGACTTTGGGGAAGCCTCTTGCCCTTTCTGGGTCTCAGTTTTCTTATTTATAAATTGTCATTGTAGGACTAGTGGATCTCAAAGGCATTTCCAACCCTAACATTCTTTATCTGATTTGCTCAGCACCCGGCCCCTGCAGGACTTATCTCCATCCAGCTCAGCCCAGGCCCTGGAGGAGTTGTTTCCTCGATATACTAGCCTTCGGCCAGGGCCCCCACTCAATCCCCCAGATTTTCAGGGGCTGAAAGATGCACTGGACTCAGAGCATACCCGTCGCAAGGTGAGATATAAAGGCTTCCTTTTTTTCTTTGGTAATAGGGATTTAATTCAGGAGCACTTTATCACTGAGCTTCATTCCCAGCCCTTTAAAAAATTGTGTTTAAAATAAATTTTGATTTTGAACAACCAATTAAAAAAATAAATTATTACTTAAAAACAAAAATAAAATAAAATAAAATAAATTTTGAGATAGGGTCTCACAAAATGACTGAGGGCCTCACTAAATTACTGGGGCTAGCCTTAAACCTGAAATCCTCCTGCCTCAGCTTTCTGAGTTGCTGGGATTACAGGCATGTGCCACCATGCCCACTATCCTTGCTATGTTTAATCACTATGTCTGCTGAGCTCCTTAAGGAACTTACTATGCTTTGTAGTGTGGGCTACTATACTTCTGCCAAAAGGTTTATGGAAATTTTTCTCAGGAGATCAGGAAAGGGAAAAACCTAGAAGGTATTAGAAGTCTTAGGCCTCAAGTTTCCTCTTTAGAATTACTGATTCTCCCTCTCCAAACCTATTTTGTTCTTGGGACCCAGGCTCCCTCTCTCTAGCCCATTTCTCTATAGAGGAGCTAGAAAGTTTGATGCTAAGGATAAGCAATACCCAGACTCTTCACTCTCCTTCCCAGCATTGTGAGCGCCACATTCAGAGCCTGCAGACCCGAGTGCTAGAGCTACAGCAACAGTTAGCCGTGGCTGTGGCTGCTGACCGCAAGAAAGATATCATGATTGAGCAACTGGACAAGGTGCCAGGGTAGCAAAAGGCGGGTGGGTATGTCCATGGAGATCATTAAGGAATAGTAATGAAGGGAGGTTAGGGTTTGTTTTTTTGTGCATGCCGAGAGTTAGGATGAGGGGTGGGTTTACTGACCATTGGAATAAGATGACTGTTGACCCTGCCCCTGTGGGTAGAAAGAGGACAAAAAAGTTATTTTGAAATTCTATCTTATTTGCCATTCTCAAGACCCTGGCCCGTGTGGTGGAGGGCTGGAATCGGCATGAGGCAGAACGGACAGAAGTGCTTCGAGGACTTCAGGAGGAACGCCAAGCAGCAGAACTTACTAGAAGCAAACAGCAGGAGGTGGATGACCTGGGTCATATGGCTTTATAACTTAAGTCACAGATTCTAGATGGAAATAAATAGCTTTGGAGTTAAGAGTTCCCAACAGATGGACCTCTGTCTTGGAGTGCTGCTCTGACAGTTTTTCTTGCCCTCTCTTTCTTCTACCTTCTTTGTTTCTGCTATCTCAGTTGGCCTCCCAGTTTTCCCCATACTGTGTAGTTTCCTCTTTGACCCTCATATCACTTAGTTAATGCTGAA